GTTTTAGGGATGCCACTCTGCCAGATCAGCTGGGGTATTTTTCATGGGCTGGTGAGAACAAAACAATGGCCCAGTGCTGTGTTCCTCTTCCCTGTGACAGAGGCCGGCATGGACAATGGTGAATTTTCTCTTTCTTTTCCAACCCAACGTCTTGAGCTATAGTTTCTTTCCTTTTTTTTTTTTTTTTTTTTTAGAGATTTATGTATTTCTTTGAGAGCGAATGACAGAGAGAGAGTGAGCAGGGTGGGTGGGGGCAGAGGGAGAGAGAAAATCCCAAGCAGAGTCCCCGCTGAGCGTGGAGCTCAACGCGGGGCTCGATCCCACAACCCTGGGATCAGGACCTGAGCTGAAATCAAGAGTTGGACGCTCAACCAACTGAGCCACCCAGTCGCCCCTTTCTTTCCTTTTTGAATTATACTTGCTTCATTTTCTTTTTATGTGGGAGGAGATTATCAAAAGCAATGTCCTTGGGGCGCCTGGGTGGCTCAGTTGGTTGGGCGACTGCTTTCAGCTCAGGTCCTGATCCTGGAGTCCCGGGATCGAGTCCCACATCGGGCTCCCTGCTCGGCGGGGAGCCTGCTTCTCCCTCTGACCCTCCTCTCTCTCATGTGCTCTCTCTCTCTCATTCTCTCTGTCTCAAATAAATAAATAAAATCTTAAAAAAAAAAACAAAAAACAGTGTCCTTGCTCTAAGCTAGGTGCCTGAGCTTCCCTCCCACATGCCCAAGACAGTCATTTACTTCTACTTGTGAATTGGGAACCAGCCATCAGAAACCCTCCTCCTTCACCTGGCTTGTTGCAAGGGCCCCCTAATTGTGCCCCCACAGATTATAGGCCAACTCATCTTTTTAAAATCTAGATCAAATCATGTCACTTCTCTGCTCAAAACTCTCTTAAGGCTCTGCATCTCCTGAGCTAGAAGCCAGCATCCTCATGCTACATCCTTATCTGTACATCCTTGTACATCCTTGTCCTACATCCTCCTCTCCTCCCCCACCTTCCCCCTTCTTTCTCCCTTAGCCACCCTCTGCCCAAAAGCCCCTTCCATCAGACTTCCCCTCAAGAGCCTTGCTACAGTGTCACCTCCTAACCTACGCCTTTCCTGACCACCCTATTGTAAACTGCAACCTATCCCTATACTCCTGTTTTGCTTTATTTGTTTCTATAGTATTTATCACACCAGATATACTGTATGTTTGATGTTATTTGGTAGTTGGTTGTCTGTCTTTCCCCACTGGAAGATCGGTGGCACGAGGGTAGGCGGTCCTGTGTGATTTGTTCACTGCTATATCCCTACCACTTAGCATGGTGACTGGCACATAGAGGGCACTCAAGACATATCTTAGAAATGGCTGAATGAGAAAATAAGTTAATTAATAAGTTGCCAGGGACAACTTATTATGTCAATGATGAAGTCGTTAATGTGTGTATGCTCTAAAATGGAGCTACTGAGTCCATGCCCTGCTTTAGACTGGGTACGCTCCCACTGGTTCAGCCCAAGTTGCTTCTGACTTGTCCACTTCTGCTTGCTTGTTTAAAATTCCGTTTTCCCCAAGCCCTTATCATAGGAAACTGACCCAAAACTATTTCCGTGGGATTTTCTCTAATCCCTCCACTCTCTGCTCAGAGCATAGGAAGCACATGAGCTGAGCCTGTACTCTGCCCAGCTGCTACGAGGCTCATCCTTGTATATGTGCAATGATTTTCTCAACTTTGATTCAGAATGCAAGACTTGGAGGGTGGGGACAGGACCCGTTCTCCTTCCTGTCTCTCATAGCATTGAATAGGACTCTGGACTCCATAGCCTGGCTTTCGTTACAGTTTGGCTATGTCCACAAGTAAAGCTACAGGAGCAGAACGCCAAAAGCAATGGGGAGTATGATAATGTTCCCATGTCCTTGGGAGCTAGATTCCTAGAGCTAGGGACCAGCAAGTCTTTACCAAGCAGGTTCCACAGCGAGGCACTGCTGTGAAATGGCATGAGGCACAGAATGCTGTACAAGACCAGTCCCCCCTTTTGGCCTATTTGGGGGGAGACTGATCACAAACATGAAATATATCCAGCGTATGTTTGTTGAATTTAATAAGCAAAATCAACATTGCAGCTAGAGTGGTAAAAACAGTGCTGGATTTAGTACTAGAGGACCTGCGTTCTAATGTCAGGATGGGATTGTAGGTGTGGGAGCCACAGAGCAGGGCTCAGATCCTGGACAGTCAGTACATCACATCCACAAAAGGCATGTTTTATGCTATTGTTATAAGGATTAGTGCTCGTGAAGATGGGCACTGAATAACAAAATTGAGAGAGCACAGGTGGTTTAGGTCATGATGATGTTACCACTGCTAGGATCCCAGCTTTGCCAGGAACTGCCCAGACCTTGGACCCATCACATTGCTGCTTCTCAGGCCTCAGTTTCCTTATATATGAGATTAGAGGCTGGATGTGGATGATCCCTGAAGGCTGAAATCCTTTATCTCCTACCAGAATCCCAGAGACTATGGTTGTAGTCCATGCCTTGTGACCTTGAGCAAATCACTTCACTTTCCATGCCCGTTTCCTCATCTGCAAGGTCACCTGATGGGGCTGGTGTTCTCCAGGCTCTTCCAGCTTGACTACTGTGATCCTTGAGGGGCTTGTGGGAGCCACTGAAGGACAGGTCAGAGCCTGGTTTCTATAGTGGCATGGGAAATCAGGGGTTGAGAAGTTAGGATGGCACAGAACAGTAACAGAGGCCTGGGGAGGGGTGCTTTGGAGGAAGGGAGGGTGGGAAAAGGGGCTTTCTTAAAAGAGCAGTGCCTCTAGAACTTGAATGGGAATCTTGTTCCAGGGCAGATTCTTTTTTTTTTTTTTTAAAGATTTTATTTATTTATTTGAGAGAGAGAGAATGAGAGACAGAGAGCATGAGAGGGAGGAGGGTCAGAGGGAGAAGCAGACTCCCTGCCGAGCAGGGAGCCCGATGTGGGACTCGATCCCGGGACTCTGGGATCATGACCTGAGCCGAAGGCAGTCGCTTAACCAACTGAGCCACCCAGGCGCCCCTCCAGGGCAGATTCTGAGCCAGTGCATCTGGAGCTGTGCTTGAGACCCTGCATGTTCCCCAAGCTCCCGGCTGATACAGCAGGTCCACAGACCACACTCTGGGTAACAATGAAGAGTTTTCTTCCTTCCCCAGTTGAGCGGCTGGGCCTCTTGGATAAGAATAGAAGCTGATCTCCTCCCCACTCATTCCTCCATGCTCCACCCCCAAGACCCCAAAGCCAAGGATGTTTTTGCCATTGTTGTTTTCCCCCAGACCTACCCCCAAATGCACACACAATCACTCTTTGATGCCCTGGCCTCCTCCCTACCCCCTCTCCCATGAATACTGCCATCACTGGCCTTCACTGCAAAAGTGATTTTGGGGGAAAAGAATCTCACACCACGTTTTCCAGGCCCTTACTGTCTGGCAGTGACAATCCCAGAGGAATGGGAAGTGAAAATGTCTACATTTTTGGAGAGCGGTGAGGTCATGTCCATATTTTCCAACTTACATGGTCATCGTTCCTCCCTAGTACTGGAGGCTGGGGCATCTGCTGTGCCCACCCCCACCCTGCAACAGAAGAGGTGTCTCCCATACAGTGTCCTTCCCATCTAACCTCTCGTCCACCCTGACACCCCTCTACGCAGAAAACATCACCATCCTGCTTGCCTTAGGGAAGCCTTCTTTTTCACACAGTGGCCCAGAGGGCAAATACCTAATATTTGTAAGGCACACAGGGATAAACAGCTAAGGTTGCATCCCCAGGCACCCCCCTGCAAGGTCTGACAACATGCATACCTGACTCCTCTGCAACCCATTCCCCATTTGCCCACCAGTGTCCTACCCACTGCATGCAAAGCATTGCCTGAGCCAGAGCCCCCTCCCCTCCTCTGCTCCCCTCCCCTTCTTTCTAGGGAGGGAACACATAGTCCAGGACAGTTTGTAGTTTCAGAGGGAACCTTTTCTCCCCATGTTTGTGTGTAGCTCTCCACAGCCAGTGCCAGCCCCCCATCCCCTGACCCAGGGGGAATACTACCTGAACAGCTTCCTCTGTGGAAAGAATTCTAAGAAAGAAGACTTTGCTTGGCTGAAACAAATTAGAATTTTGCTCTGAGCAGGTTATGCACCCAGAAGTTCCATCTCCTCCCTCTGCCCTCTCTGAGAGCTTACTCAGAGCACTTTCTTCCCCTAACATCCCCGTGCTTCACGGAAACAGGCCTGCCTGGGCTGTGATGGGGGACGAGAGGGGCTGGTCTGGGAGAGTGATTTATTATTCTTAAGTTCTAGAAGGAGGAAGTGGGGGACCCTTAGAGGTCCAGTGACTGGTAAACTTTCCTTTCAACGAAACAGCCAGAAATTTTGGCACCAAATGAGAATTCCGAGTCTTCCATTATAGGTGCCTGGTAGAGAAATCTTAGAGTGATGTTTTGTTCACCCTGAGGATCGAGAGTCTACAAATCTCACTCCTGGTTTCTCTCCCTTGATTCTCCTTTGGGCAGCCTTCCTGCACCCAGCGCCTGAAGCTCTAACTCACCACTTCTCAGCTCAGACGCCTTCGGTGGCTCCCTGTTTCCCTTCACTGAGAGCCCAGTTTATCCCATTATTCCACCTAATCCGCTTGCTCGTCCCTTCACTGAGCACGCAACACCTTCTCCGTTATTACTCCCTGTGGGTTAGTAAGAGTTCAGTCCCCTAGTGAAGGAAACCATGTCACGCATGCTGTGCACATCTCAGTGTCCTGCATTTTCATTCTTAGGCTTTTGTGTGTGTTGTCGACCATTTGGCTTCTGATAAAAATGGAAGACGCTCTCTCATGGACAGTGCACCTGTCCTCAGGATTGGCATGCAAGTTCAGAGGGTGTGCACGAGTGGACTCCAGATCCACAGCTCCTGATGTAGCGACTAGGACAGTTGGCTGAGCAAGTAAGAGCTGCTCAGTACTTGCCTGCTGAGCTCTGACTCTCCCTGTTTCCCAAACAGATTGCCCTGACGTTCTCCATTGTCTTTGGGGTCATCGTGTACCGCATCACGACCGCTGCGGCCCTGTCTCTCAACAAGTCCACGCGCTCCAATGTCCGGGTGACAGTGACAGCGACAGCAGTCATCATCAACCTCGTGGTCATCCTCGTCCTGGACGAGATCTACGGCGCGGTGGCCGAGTGGCTCACCAAAATCGGTACTGTGTCACCAAGCCCCATGCCTTCCCTAGGCCCCCTTGAACACGCTCCGTTCAACGTGCGCAAGGTTTTTGGTGGTGGTGACCGAAAATGAAGAAAAGGAACAGGGACAAAATGCCTTAGACAGTGCGTTTTAATTGGAGAAATGAGGCGGTACGGTGGTTCTGTACTCGCAGGGCCTGCTAAGGGCCTCCCCTCAGGCAGAAATCCTCCCTAGAACATTCTCCATCAGTTGTCTTCCAGCCCAAGTTGATGAACTCCCTCACGGTCCCCTAAGACGCATCCCCGGGGTCTTTTCCTTTTAGCCTAACCTAGAGGCAAGACAGGTTCAACACTTCCTGTTACAAATCGTGGCGTTTTAGCCCTCCTCACTTTCCCAGGAATGTTTACAGAGTCGAGAAAGCTCTTGATACTTGAGCCCTGGGAGGGTCTTATCTATCCCCATATTGCCGAGCCCCCAGAAAATCCACACATTCCCCACGCACTGAGCAGACTTCAAAGGGGCATATCAGACTTCCCAAGCTTCAAGCCAGTGAGAAAAATGCAGTGGCCTCAGTATTCAGACGTGTCATTTGAGCGGCAACCTGCTGTTGCTGGAGCGCCACTTTTTGGCATTTGTGCTTATTAGGTGGGGGAGGGCTGAGAGCTGAGACCCTTTCCCCATGGTACTTACCCTGGGTGGCCTGGATGCATGCACCTCTTTCCCTGGTTGAATCTGGGCACTAGGACTGTCAGCCTCTCACTAACCTCAGGGAAGTTGAATTAATGATACGATATCTTTAATTCACTGACCAGTTAGAAGCTAGACACTTGATAGGATAACCCCATCTTCAAGCGAGCCTTCCCTAGAGGATCAGAAAATTCCAGAAAGGTTTCACTAATTCCAGTCAAAGGGATTCTTTCAGTGCATTTCCCTGGCCTGGACTCTACTCACAGTGGGCCTTGACTTTGGTTTCTATGTGGATACAGGCAAGGTGCCATCTAGAGTGGAGGCTCTGCTCCCTTTAGGCGTGTGCACGTTTATAAATGTTATCTGTGTCTCTTCATAAGTTTCTTGAGAAAAGTCAGCAGAGGATGTTGCTTCAGTGTGTTTAGTGGTATGTGGCATTCTATGGAAGCATTTAAGGGGAGCCTCCAACACTCCCGGGGGCTCAGGGGAGGCTCCTGAGACAAGGATTGCTCACAGATAAGTGATATTCACACAGGCAGGTGTAGAGGGAGGAGGCAGCAAGCAGGAGGACAAGAGGTTCCTGGCAGAGGGAACAGAATGAAAGGGCGAGATCAGATCCCTCAGGGGCAGGAAAGGCATGTGGAGGACTACACGTGGGCTGGGCTTGGACGATGACAACGGGTAGAATTTTGGTGCCGGGGAGGAGCTGAGAGCTCTGCCTATGGAAGAAGGAAAACACAAAGCGTGTCCAGGATGCGAGAGGAGCCCAGCATGGCAGTTCCTTTTGGGTCCGAGGCATGTCCAGGGCGCAGTGGAGGGGGGAGCTGGACCCAGAGCATTAACTGAGAGCTGATTTTTCAGTGAAAGACCTTGGATGCCAGGCTGAGAACTCTGCTTATTTTCATAGACAAGGAGAAAGTGTTTGCTGGAGCTCAAAGGGTCATCCAATAAAAAGTACCCATCTTTCTGGCCTGATCTCTGAACCGGCTGAGAAGTAAGGCAAAGGCAGATGTAGGCAAAAGCCAAGATTTCACTTTTAAAGCTGAGAAAGGCTACATGGGAGGAAGCAGCTTAACAGGAGAGGCAGATAGGCTTCCCAGTACCAGATGACAGACAGACTCCCCTGCCAGCAGTGGAGGACAGGGAAGCCTGGGAAGTGTTAGGACATGGGGTGGGGAGGCCCAGAAGAACACCTGCTTCCTGCAGCTCTTGGCTTCCCAGAGGAAGGGTAGAGGAAGAGGGTAGATGAGGAATGCCAGTGTCATCTTCCAGACGAACCAATGAGATAAGCTTCTGTCCCCAAGAAGGGAAATGAGTGAGGTAGGGGAGACAAGGCAGGGCTTGACGACTAAGCCCTCTCCCTTCACATCAGGGAGACATCAGGAGAGGAAGGAAACGTTCCCCATCCCCCGCAAGTGCTCTGACCTCACACCACTGGGGAGGTTTTGAAGAGGGTGACATGACTGGAGCTGTATGTTTGCAAAACTGTCCCAGCAGGGACATAGGATGCCCCCGAGAAGAGAGAGGCGGGAAGGCCTATTGCAAAGGAGATTATTGAGTGTGTGGGCTGGAAGAAAGGAAGGAAGAGAGGAGCAGGAAACCAGTGATGGTGCAGAAACATCTCCCTGCCACTCATCTGCATTACTTTATGTCACTTGTCTTCCACAACTCTAGAGAGTGCGAGGCCTAGAAGCTGGTGTGGCCCACAGTCCAAACCTCATTAACAAGTATTTACCTCCTGTGTACAAGGCTGGGCAAATTCTCTTTGCATCGGGCTGGAAAACACTTTCCACACTGTGAAGCTACATCCACTGTTTCTAATAGCACTTCCTCCCTCACCCAAAAAGTTCAGGCTCCTCCTGGCTGTGAAACCAGTCTGTGCCCTGGAAAGGAGATGAAATTCTAGCAACTACAATTTGTTCTTTGTGATAGAGATACTCATAAAGCAGCTTTAGACTTAAAAGAATTCCATTATCCCAATTCATCCTCACAAAAACTGTGTGTGGTCAGCAAGGGAAGTATTATATCCTCATTTTACTAAGGTTCACACTCAGATTCTCCCTCTGAAATGCAGATACCTTTTGTGCGATGCTGATGTGAGTTTCTTACTGTCTGGATTGAAGTGATGTATTGGGTCTCCGTGCAGGAACCCACGTGGGCCTCCTCCCCAGATGGCTGCCCTTGTCTGCCCTACACCCGGTGTTCCCAGAGGGCTCAGAGAGGTGCTTTTGTATAATGGAAGGGCCACTGAATTCGGGAGCCTGGTGGAAGGAAACTTTGAGCTCTGGGCCTGGCTCCTTCTCCCTCCCATCCCCCGATGTGTGGCAGTGGGCAAACCAGGGAGCTTTTCTGGAATGAATTTTATTGATCCTTCCTTCATCATTTTCCTCCTTCCTGTCCACAGGTTGTCACCTCTGTGTGGGCTGTTGTCATAGCCTAAGGACTGTGCCCTTGTCTTTAGCCCCTTTCTCTGGGCCTCTAGCTTGGAAATCCCACCCAGTCAAGTCTTTCTCAATCCTTCTCCCTGGGCTGGGGGAGGGGAGCACCACTCCCATCGGCCCCCACAGAGAGTTTCCTTTTGGTCTTGGATCAAATATAAACTAACATTTGAGGCTCTCAGCCGCCTTCTTCCCAGTGTCCTCCACCACCCTGGCGACCCACGCCACTCACGGTCACCCCAGATCACCCTGTGTGTTCCCACCTCTGTGCTGTGCTTAGGCTGCTGGAAGCGCTCTAATAGCCCTCGGTGACCCTCCTTTTAAAGGACCTCGAGAGGCCTGCCTCCCCCATCCTTTTCTGGACACTCAGCCCTCAGGGAGTTTCCTCCCACCCACTTCTGAACTCCTCGGGTGCAGATCACGCGTTCACTCGTTCATCCCCCGGATGTGGAGTGCCCACTTTGTGCCAGGCACGATTCTGGGAGCACAGCCATCGACAGGGAAGACATGGTCCTGCTCTCACTGTGCTTATGCTGTAATAAGGGAAAGATAGACAGTGAGTGGGAACATCTCCCAGAGGATGAGAAAGCAAAATGGTCATGGGACCGTGGTGTGGGGTTGTGCGCTCTGGTCCGGTGGTCGGGAAAGGCCTGTTGAGGTGGTAACATGGTGGCTGAGCCTGGGGTGACAGGAAGGGACCAGCACACAGAGACCTGGGGGGAAGGCTCTAGGAAGAGGGGACACCACACCAGAGACTGGTGGCCCATAAACCAGCAGGTGCGAATAAGCTTGGGGTGCATTATCTGCTCCTCTCACTGTCTTCTCTCATCGCTGGACTTGTCTGTGTGTTTACTAGTCTTACAATAGACGAGGCTCTGCCAGGGTGAAAAATTAATCTTAAAATCTCAGGTGCGTAACACGAAGTTGTTTATCTGACCTCGCTCACGCTCCATGTCCTTGGTGGCAGGGCAGGGGGCTCGGGCTCCCACAGCCATGGGAGGACCACACCGATGGAGGCCTCGCGGACGCCATGTCGGCTGTGAGCCGCTCCAGTCCAGGAGCGCCATCCCTCCCTTCCGCTCACCAGCACGCTGGCTGGAAGCGGCCTCTGAGGACGCGGGAAAATGTGTAGAAGTGCGTGGACATTCCGTGAGTGGGAAAGGTCCCTGCTGCTGACTCCAACAGGCCGCAGAGCCCTGGAGGACAGCTGCTCGCTCTTAACGTTTTCTTTGTATCCCCTGCATGGGGCCTGCCTCACAGTAGATCTTAGCACAACTTTGTTGATGTAGTTATTGGCTAAATCCATCTCTGTCTTCATTTGTGCATTTGAAAATTTGTTTTCAAGGAATGCCCATAGGCTAGGCATCCTGCCAGCCACAGTGGGAGCTACAGTGAGCATTTATGCGTTCATTATTTCCTACTTACCAGAGGATTTGAAGGGATTTTGAGATGAAGAAGGTAAATGTGAAGTTGTCCTGATGGGACAGTGACTGAAAGACGCAACAAAGGCATCCGAAGACTTGACGCATCCTTAATGGCAGAGGGTGCGTGTGAACCCACTGACAGAGGTGGCCATGCACAGTGGGGGTGCCCAGCACCCCTGCAGGTAGAGGGGTGGCTGCAGAGTCCCCCAGGCCTCCCTGGGACACAAAGCTGTGAATAATGCCACCTAATGGAATGAGGATTCTGCCAGGCTTAGGGGCTTCCTTTGCCATTCTCACGCTGGCTTTAATACCCGTCTGGCTTCTTGCCTCGGATCTCCTGATTGATGAGGAGGCTGTGACGACCGCCTTGCTCACCAGGTGCAAACAGCTGGTGTAAACAACCCCAACAAGTTCCCAAGTGTTTCCTGCAAGACTGGGTGGTGAATACCGATTTCTTGGGAGCATCC